GGTTAGAGAGCCATGGGTTCAAATCCCAGCTCTGCCACTCCCAGGGTTGCATGACCTTGGCAAGGAACTTGGCCTTTGTGAGCCTGTTTCCTCAGCTATAAAATGGGTATAAATCCTTTCCTCATTTCTAAAGTGAGATGAAACATGTAAGATGTTTAGATTAATGCCTGGCATATAATGAGGGCGCCATAAACATTAACGACTGCAGTATTGTTATTATCTCATCATCATCCCCATTTGTTTTAGATAAAGCCAGGCTTGTGGCTCGCTTGCCAGGCAGTGCCTGGCACATGGCCGGCACACAGTACTCAGGAGTGCCTTTTCCGAGATGCACTAGCACCCTGCTCTCTCCCTGGCCTTGGTTGCCCTGCCTGGGCAATGGGCTCATCCCAGACCAGGCCACCCACCAGGCAGGGGCACCAGGCCAGGCCTTCTTTGGGGAATCCCCCAGGTGTCTCTGCCTCCCAGCATGGGGCTAATTTTAGTCAGGTGGGCAGGAGTTGCTGCTCTTATCTCTGCCTGGTATTTTTGGCACATCCCAACTGACAGGCTCCTCTGCCCTCCCAAGCCAGCCGCACCCATGGAGCTCTGGCCTGAGGCCTCTGCCAGGCTCTGGCCTCCCAACCCCAGCCCAAGAGACACTAGGCGGCGGGGGGACGCTTGTCCAGCCACCTCTTGTTTGCCTCCAGCAGCCTCTGGGCCACCCACAGCCGACCCCAGGTCTGAGACTGTGGGGGTCTCACATCTGTAAAGGGGAGCCGTGCACCTCACTCCCCTCCCCCCCCACGCTCTGTGTGGTTTCCATGGCAATGAGCACAAATCCCCCAGCCCTTCACAGAGGAGCCTTGTTTATTTTGCCCACATAACTTTGGAGACCAAGTCACAGGCCCAGGTTTTTCAAGTCCCCTGCCCAGCCCAGCCCACTACTCACCACCCAATTAGACCGACAGGCCAGGGGCAGGGCGAGGGGGGAGCAAGACACCCCTCCCCCTCTGGACCAGGCCAAGGAGCCATGGGCAGCAAGCCGAGAGGTGGGACCTCCAAGTCCGCTCCCCACTGGGAACCTCACCTCCCTTGTCTATAGAATGCGGACGTGTCACAGAGAGCACTAGCTGCTTACTAAACGCACCAATTATGCAAGTCTTTCCTGACCTTGACCAAGGTAATTTGCCTCCCGGAGCCTCAGTTTCTCCACCTGTGAAATGGAGCTAAAGGTATCTGCCTCATTGGGGGAGCCAAAGCATTGAATGCAGTGGTGCCTGTGCAGTACTTAGTGCTGTGCTCGGCACCGAGTGAGTGCCCATTTGCTGGGAATCACTTGTCTTTCTACTGCTAGTGCTGCTGCTGCTGCTATCATCATCATCATCCCCAGGCAGAGGCGGCTGTTCCACCATGCCCCCACGCCTCTCTGGCTTCCTCCAGCTCCCTGGAGCTGCTGCCTGAGCCAGTCCCTTCCTCGCCCCCCTCCCAACCTAGCCCCCCCATGGTAACCTGATTTGGGGGGAGGGGCGGCACAGCCTGGCACGGCCCATTGTCAGGCCTCCCCCTCCCCGTGGGGCTGGGGCGGCGGGGGTGGGGCTGCCAGCTGTGTGGTGACATTCCGCAGCCCTGCTAACCGCTGCTCCTGACGCTGGTGGCTAAATTGAGTCTCGGTTTCCTTAAAATGACTATTTATTGCTTTAATGCAGTATTGAGTATTTACTGAGTGTTGGAGAAAAGGCTCACCCAGCGCGGTGCTCAGCAGCCGCCGGCCAGTGGGGCTGCTCCGGGAGGCACGTCTGAGAAGGGGGGCAGCTCCTCTTTCCAGAGGAACAAAGGCCCCTCCGGTGCTCCCTGTGCTGGGCTGCGGGGGCAGGGTCGCTCACCTGGAGTCTCTGATCTGGACCACCCCCCTCCCCTAGGTGGAGCATGTTCAGGAGGAGGGGGCCCACATGCCGCCCCCCATCCCGCTCCCCAGCCATGGAGAATCGGTGGCCTTTGAACAGAGCAGGCAGGCACCAGCTGGCCCCCAACCAGCCCCTCAGCGGGACCAGCCCATGCCAGCCTGGAGCATCTCAGCTGTGTCCCCTCCATGGAGACCCCCAATAAGGGGGCACAGGTCGTCCCTGAGGGCTGCACCATTGTCTCTGGGGTGGATGCACTGCGTGCATGGAGAGGCAGAAACAAAGGTGGGAGGAAGAAGCCTCTTCATCCCAGCTGCCACGCGTGGGCCACATGCCAGGCACCGTGCAGGCGCTCTGCCCACCCCCAGCATCCCCGAGACAGCCTGCGAGGTGGCTACTATTCTACCTGTTTTACAGATGGGAAAACTGAGGGTTGAGAGACTTGATGAGATGCAGAGAGTGGGTGTGAGCCCAGGTCTGGTGCTAGGCTCCTCACCTTTGAGAGCCCAGGGTGCTGCACCAGGGTGCCGGGGAATGGTCAGGCTCCCTGGAGGAGGCGGCCATTGAATCTAGCCTTGAAGGATGATGAAAAGCATTCAACCAGCAGCCCTGGAGGGGCAGTGGGCAGGCCAGGAAGAGGGGACAGAGTTGGGACAGCACGATTTCAGAGTGACCGAGTGAGTGAGATGGATCAAGTGAGCGGGGCCAGATCAGGGAGCACTGCCTCAGTGGGGCCGGAACCTCAAATCCATTTCTAGAAAGAGGAAGGGGAGGCACTGAGAGAGAAAGAGGGTGCAAAATTGAGGGCAAAGAAAGAAGGGACAGAAGGAAGAGGGAGGTGTGGAAGACAGGTTGTCAACGTGAGAGCAGTGAGGGCCTAACAGCGGATGTGTCTGTGGCCTTTACTCTCTGTGGGGCACCACCCTGAGCCCTTGACACACATTGAAACATGGAAGCAGAGCTCAGGGGCTGACCAGAACTTTGGAGGCCCCACTAGGATGTTGGGGCTCCTCTAGCCTGTTGATTGTGAGTGCAGAGGCTCTGAAGACTTCTGTAGGATGTGACACAGTTTGATTTTCATCCCCAAAGAGCCAGGAGGTGGTAGAGGGGTGAGGAGGGCAGCAGGGGGCATGGGCAGGGCAGTGTACAAGGACAAAGGCCACAGAGGTGCCCCGTGTGTACAGTGGGAAAGGAGCGGGTGGAGGGCCCAGGTCCTGGGCTCAGCCCTAAGACAAGGACTATGTCACCTCCAGAAGAGAGAGCCAAACTTAGAGGGAAATGATAAATTGGTCATTTTCTTTCTTTTTTTTAATGTTTTTTTCTATTTCTTTCTTTTTTGTTTTTTTTGTTTTGTTTTTGGCAGCCAGTCCATACAGGGATCGAACCCTGGACCTTGATTATCAGCACCATGCTCTGACCAACTGAGCCAACTGGCCAGCCCCTTCTTTTTTATATTCCAAAAGTCATTATTGCTCATTGTAAAATAAATTCAGGCAGAGCAGAAGTAAGTTAAGCAAAATGGGACGGTCCTCATCCCTTCCCCCACCCCCTCCTCAGAGGTGGTCAGCTGAGTAACATTCCAGACCTCTCCTACAAGCGTCAAAGCATGTTCAGGGCACATGCAGTTGGTTTTCCTTTTCATGGGATCCGTATCTTCTCTAAACTCTGCACTTGGCTGTTCCACTTAGCAACATGCTGAGGACACCTGCCGTGTCAGTGCACACGGACTAACCTCTGTCTTTGCAACCACGACGCAACAGTCCAGGCAATGGGCAAACTCTGATTTATTAACCCGTTTCCCCACTGACAGCCCTTTGGGCTGCTGCCATGCTCTGCTGTCACGCACACAATACGTCGGCGAGCATCCTGGTACATAGATCTTTGTGCACATGGGCCGCCTGACGGGAGCTGGGGTGTAAACACATTGGGCTGTGCTGCCCCGGGGGCATCCACAGAGCCAGCCAGGCAGCAGGCGGTAATGGAAAGGGGTCTGGAGCCCCAGGGAGGAAGAGGGGGCTTTGAAGGAGGAGTTGGTGCTATAGAATCAGAGGTGGTGGTTTGAGGGCTTTTGGCATGCAAGTGACAACAAAGCCATAAAAGGACAGAACCCTGAGGGTCCTGGCATTTCAGAGTAGGTGGAGAACTGGGAACCTGCAAATATGTGGGGAGAGACAAAGGCTGTGAGCCTCCACAGAGCTTCCAGAAGAAGGGAATGGCCAGATGTGGCAAATGGCAGAGGAGGGCATGAGTGTGGACGTCCAGCCCCTTGCGCAGTGCATGGCCACAGCGCTGCTCAGCAAACACTGGGGCGGTTGAATCAACAAGTGAATCTATGAATGAGACCCTAGGGTCTGGAAGGTGTGTGCGCTTTCAGCGCTTTCAGGAGTTTGGGGAAAGTGGAGGAAGCTGAAAGCAGGTTGAGCGAGGAAGGAGGCACAGGTGAAGAGGTGGTTCTGGTGGGTGTGGGCAGAGTCCCCCCCAGTGTGGCTGGCCAGGGAAGGGGAGCGGTGGGTATGGTGAGGCGCTGGCAGGAGCTGAGTGTCCCGGCGGGTTAGGAAAGGGAGGGTGGAGGAAGAGATGCTCAGAAAGTATTTTGATGTCTGGGGCTCAGGGACAGAGACTGCTATCGAGGCCAGAGGTCTGAAGGGACCTCAGCATTGGGGGGAGGAGTCCCTCTGAGTCAGAGACAGCGGCTCTGTCCTGGGCTCTCAGCATTCCCCATCTCATTGTACCTTCACCAGAAGGCAGATTATAACCTCCCATTATACAGCTGAAGAAACTGAGGCTCTGGAGGTGGAGTCCCAGGCCCACGGTCACAAAACTAAGACAAATAGAGGCAGGATTTGAATCCACGTCTTCCAGACCTCTAAGAGACCCTCACCTTCACCTCCTGTCCCCTAGACCTGCCCTAGACCTCGCACTGCCCCCTGGCCCTCGTGGGCTGGTGCTTAGCAGGGGGCCATGGTCAAAAAGGGAGAGAGCAGCCTTCAGGGAACTGGTTGCTCGTGCCCAGCAGTGGGAAAAGCATTTTGCACTTTCCTTCCATTGTTAAACCATCTTGGATGCTTTTCTGCATGAGGAAACTGAGTCGCAGTCAGACTTATTTGCTGTTTAAACATGGACTCGGAGACTGTGACAGGCCTGGGGTCCAGCCCTACCAAGGGGCTCTTGACGGCAGCTCAGGAACTGGGCAGCCTGATGGTGAGAAGTAAGGGGGTGGAGGAAGAGAGTGGCTTGCACAGGCAGAGGAGACGGAAGGGCATTCCTCGCGCAGACCTGGAGTAAGGGTGGTGCAAGAAAGCACAGGGAAGCAGAGCAGGAGCTGAGGGTGGGCACTTTATGGTGTCCGAGAGGGAGCTGGGGCAGTGCGGCCTGCAGCAGGGCCTGGCCCAGAGGGCAGAGGCAGGGATGGATGGCTCCTGTGGATGCGAGGACTCGGGGCAGATTGGGGCTGGGGAGAGGGAAGGGGGCAGTCAGCAAGCTGGGGGCCCTGGCCTCGCCACCCACAACTTCGGACCGTGGGGGGTCACTGCGCTCTCTGCCTGGGCCTCCCTGGCCCACCCAACAATAACCCAGTAGCCACTCTCAGGACAGCCAGACCTTCCCAGCCTTCTCCTGAGAAAAGAGTTTCCCTCTGGTCTACATTATGTATTTGTGTGTGTGCGTGTACACCTGTGTCTTAGGTATGTCCCTGGTCACCTGCAATCTGCAAGGGCACCTACATGGGCCTGTGTATCTTTGTTTTCGTGTCTTTGTATTATTTGTATTATGTCCTTGTTTGTCCAGAATCTCTTGTGTCCTTCTGTGTCAGTGCATACCTGGGTCTTTTGTGCTCCCATGTGTCTCTGCACACACTGTGTGTGTCTCCAGATGCCTGTGTGCCTTTTTATGTGCCCATATGTTTCTCTGTGTGAGTAGATGGCATTTCAGTTACCTTATGTGTGACAGTGTGTCCACATATGTGTGTATACAGGTATACATGTGTGTTACAGCATGTGTCCTGGTGTGTCTATGTACTTGTGAGGCCTTGTGGCTCTGGGGCTAGGGCAGGGGGTCAATTGTCTCTACGTCAGGGCAGAAAAGGAGGTCATCAGAGCCCAAAGTCCCTCTGCATCTGGGCAGCCTGCTTCTCTGCCCCTGACCCCAGGATGACCCCAGATACCCTAGGCCACAAGGCAGGCCAGGAACCACAGTGACCATGGTAGAGGTGGGGGAGGAAGGTGTGAGACATGAAGTGTTCAGAGGAGGCTGAGGGCAGGGCCAGCCCAACTGACAGTGGCCAGACCCCAGCCCTGCCCTGAGCCCAACCTGCAGCTTTTCCAGAAACCTGTCACTGGGAGGGCCCTAACCTAAATCTGGATCCCCAAGAGTGTCTCTGGCCTGTGCCTCCCAGCATGTAGGCCAGCATAATTGAGTCCCCCAAAGCAGTCACCTGACTTGGGTCTGGGTGACACCCCTCCAAGGGGCAAACCCCTGAAACAGCCGCAACAGCCTCCCATAGTTAGACATATGCATCTGTGGGTAGAGGCAGCCCGTGTCCCCACAGGTGGAAACGTGTGTGTGTGCGCGTGTGTATGTGTGTGTACCGGTGTTTCAGCAGTTGTGCATGTGTGTAAATGTGTGAACATGCTCAGAGATCAGCTTGATAGCATCATACACATATGCAGCCCTTGGTTTGGTGGCATGTGTCACTGTGCATGTGGGATTCACAGACACATTTGCATGTGCAGGCCTGTGTAGACAGCACAGTTGGGCAGACAGATGTCTTGGTAGGTGTGAATAGTGAACCACTTGGGTGCCAGTATGTGCACATATAGTGCCAACACACGTGAGCATTGGCAGGCATGTGTAGGTGGCTACAGGCATGTGCAGGCCTGTGTAGACAGCACAGTTGGGCAGACAGATGTCTTGGTAGGTGTGAATAGCGAACCACTTGGGTGCCAGTATGTGCACATATAGTGCCAACACACGTGAGCATTGGCAGGCATGTGTAGGTGGCTACAGGTGGGGGCCTGTAGACTGTTGGCAGTACAGGTGTGCACCATACGAGTGTGCACATGTGTGCACATATGTAACAGGTGAATTCACACAGGTGTGGGTAGGCATGAGAATCAGGAGCTGTGTACACACGCAGTCTGCCTGACCAAGCTAGCTGCCATCACTGTGGTTACCTGAAGGGAAGTGTGGGACAGACACACAGCTGGCAGGGCATCCCAGAGTGGGGGCAAGGGAAACACCCAGGCAGGACAGTCACCCCTCTCCCAGAGCTCGGCATCCAGGCACAACCCCCATGCCCAGCTCACCTTTGCAGTCAGTAGGAATTCAATCCCACCCCAGTAAACCGGCCCTACTTTGCCACTGCTGCCGAGCCATGAGCTGGGGGAGGGGACCCTGCTCGGAAATTGGCCATAAATTTCTTGAGATGCTTTAATTTTTTAAAAGCCCCACGTAGATGCTTTGCATTGCATTGCGAAAACCCACAAATATCGGCTAAATGAGGTGTGCCAGCAGAAGGCCTGGCCAGGCCTGCGGCCCTCCCCTCCCAGCAGCTGGGCCTGGGCTCAGCTGGGGCCCCTGGCCTGGCCAGCCGGGGCCAAGGGGCCCATCTTTGTTCCGAGCAGGGCTCAGACTGCAGAGTGGCTGGGTAAATAGTCGCCGCAGTAATCGCAGGCTGATTCCAACTAATTAAATCCTGCGCCAAGAGCCCACTCCAGCCAGTATCCTGAGAGGCCACGAAAACACAGACACTCCAGACAGGGCTTTGCTCCAGGTCGGGTCTGGATCTCTAATCCCGTATCTTTTGAAAGATAGGCACGCCCCGGGATGAGGGGTCAGCGGGCCTGCCCTGTGCCGAGCAGTGGAATTTTTCAATAACCAGCAGCTGGGTCACCAGGCACACAAAGGCGGTGTAATATCCTGTGGGCTTACTCAGGGAGAGAGTGGGCTGTGCAGAGCCAGCTCTCTCCAGGCCCGGGGCAGCGGCCCCCCACAGCCCAGGCTCCCAGCGGCCCGAGGGGCCACTTGGCCAGGCTTCCACTCACCTCCCACCAGAAGGGCAGAGAGAACCGAGGTCGGCAGCCTCCACCGCCCCCTTCTCCCAGACTGGGGCTTCCAAGTAAATTCATCTTCCTTATTAAAAACCAGCCCTGATGCTCCCAGGCCCCAGCTGCGGCTGTGGCAGGACCTGCCAGGGCAGGGCTGCTGGGGCCAGGTCCCCTCCAAGGGGCAGCAGATGCTCCTCCCATGGGGAGGCCACAAGGGGCAAAGGTTTCCAGCTCTAGAGTCAGAAGGACCCTGTTCAGATCCTTCAGGGCCTGTCCACCCAAGAAGATCCTGGCTGGGCCTCGTACTGGCTGGTGACCTTGGCAAGGCACTCAGTTGTACCCTCTGTGAAGTGGAACTGCCAGTCACAGTGGGAGGATGTTGGGGGATTAAATGAGAGCCAGTGTCTGGCAGCGCTCCCCTGCCCTGCCACTGCCTCAGTTTCTCCCACTGTATAACAGGGACCAGGGCCCCTCAGAGGCTTGGGGGGAAGCAGGGTTTTTGCCCGTAAGGAGCTCACACACTGTAGAGGGCTGTCCACAGCAGGAACCATGCCGCACATGTGAGAGTGATTAGAATTGCAGAGAGACCCGGCTGATTTTATTTTATTTTGTTTTTTCCCAGAAAACAATAGTTGCCCCCTCTCCCGAGTCTGGAATGCTTTAGGCCCAGGGTCTGGGACCCCTCATTTAAATTGGCTGCGAAGGGACAGGCGCTGTGAGCCCTGGGAGGAGGTTGTTAGGGATGGAAAGCCGGGGCCCAGGAATTTACAATCCGTTACTTGAGAGGTGTCCTGCCTCCCCCTCGCCCCATCCAGGCCTTCGCAGGCCCAGCATGTGCCGTAAAGATGTCACATTGGGTGGGGGGTGCCGAGGAACAGTCCAGGGCCTGGACTTTGGGAGGGGGGACACAGTCGGGACAGAATCCTGGCTGCATCAGGTCCAAGCAGGATGGACCTGAGCAAGAGCTTTCCTCTCTGCACCGCAGCGCCCCTCTGTAGGGCAGAACACTTGCATGCGTGTCCTGGTAAGTGGAGGCTTTGTTTTTATCACACACCCTGCCCCAATAATGCCAGAAGTGAAACAGGTGGTGGCCCAGTATGATGAGTCCACAGACTGATGGCACCTTGCAGCAGGGACTTGGTCAAAACTGTGCGCCTCCCGCTGCCCACCTGTGAATTCTGCTCAGCATAAAGCAGCAGGCTCCTGTTGTCCTTTGCCAAGTCACATTGCAGACCTTATCTCCTATCTGGGGCTCTGGCACTTTATAGCTGTGAGTCAGGTCACCTTTCCAAGCCTCAGTTTCTTCATCTGCGAAATGGGAAGTCATTTCCCTGTCTTCCAGGGTTGAGGGGAAATGAGATGAATCTGGTTGCTGGGCCCAGAGCCAGGCCCACAGCAGGCTGTCACCTCAGTTTCTTCATCTGCGAAATGGGAAGTCATTTCCCTGTCTTCCAGGGTTGAGGGGAAAAGAGATGAATCTGGTTGCTGGGCCCAGAGCCAGGCCCACAGCAGGCTGTCATGAGAGGGGCCGTCCATGCTGGGGCAGGCTGACAGCCATGGTGCCGAGGGAGCACTCACACTGCAGGGAGTGCCTCCCAAGGGAAACGGCATTTGGGAGGACCTGAGAAATGAGTGGGGAGTCACCAACAGAGGACGGGGGAGGGCACGGCATGCTGGTGGCTGGGCTCCATGGGCGCTCAACACGCCAGACCCCACAAACAACTTGCTGCCAGGGAGGAGGGTCAGATCTGAGACCTGCATAGGGGCCGCATGATGGGTCAAATGTGTGGACAGGTGTCAAGGGAGACGGAGGACCCGGATCTGCTCAGGCAGGGGTGAAGGCGACTGTCAGCACCATCAGGGAGATGGACACAGACAAGGAGACACCTGTGTGGGGCCAGATAGCAAGGCCAGCTTCCTAGGAGGCACTGGGGAGTGTTGGGGCATTGAGGTGGAGCTGTTTCAGGTACTGTGAGGAAGAGGGTCGGGAAGCCCTGAGAGCCTCCTTGGGAACCACACTGGTCCTAGCAAACACGATCCCAAGAGGTGACTTGAGATGGTGGTTCCCCAGGCACCCAGATTACCAGGTCCCCAGGCTGTGGGGCACTCGGCTTCTGCTCTGGGCAGAGCAGGGTGCCAGGGACCTTGCTGGGGTGA